CCACCCTGTATATATATATATATATATTTATTTAATGTATAAGCTCTCATATTTTATCAAACATGATATAGTTATATAAGTGTCAATTTTGTAAATGTAAGTACAAGTAAAAACATAGCATCCTCAACTGCTTTTTTTCCTGAAGTCTTTCACCATTGAGCTTTCACGTATACATCAAGGCTGTATTGTTAACTGCACACAGTTGCTAAATAGTTTATCGTAGGTAAGTATATAACTTATGCTATATAAGTTAGGATACTTTGAGCTAGAATTACAAGTTAACAATTTCTATGGGTTTAAATACCATAACTAGTCTCTAAAGAGCTCCGAATAAGAACTTCTACTGATTTTACATGTACATTTTCTCTCAATCGGCAATTATCACACAAACTTTAAATTAATCGCTTTTCGAGTTTTGTTTCTTTACTTTGTATATCAAGGCTTCCGTTGGTAATGAGAAATGCACGTGCTTTTCCAGGTTAGTAACTTTTACTGTATAATTCATCCATCCAGTTTAAGCAATCTTGATCACCTTGTTCTGTAAAAGAGCGTGTACAAAAGGTTGGATGAAGTCCTTGTGATGATTTTTTTAAAGAAATGTTTACCAGATTCCTTACATTGAAAACAACATTATTTTTCTGCTTTGAACCTTTATTCATATTTAGGAATGTCGTTTTGAGAAGTTTTACAAAAAGCAACTTCCGTGTTTATCATTTTAATGTGTTTTATCGAAATTAATGTGTTTTTGTAAAAGGATATTTTATCTAGTTTCCTAAGAAAATAATAAATAAAATTATCGTTCTGCTTTTCTGAAATCTTAAACTCTATTTTGTGTCATTGAAATTTGCATGCACCCAAACCCGTGGGCTTGTTTATAATCATCATATACCTTAGGGTTTCCAGGATGCCACCTTATAGGTGGCTGTTGTTTTAACATCTTCATTAATAAGAATTCTCGAACACAAACAATAAAACACTGCAAATGAAAAAAAAACATTGCTTATCTCTCTGAAATACAATAGCAATGCTTTTTTTTTTCATTAGCAGTAATTGCCCAGTAAAGTCAATTAGAGTTTATGCCTGAATACAAGCTCTCTGATGATCGAGATTATCTAAGTAACTTATTCAGATTTACGTTCATATTATGTAAAATAGTATTGACGACGGATGGCGCAACTTTCATCTCATAATCGAAATTCATACATTTTATTCAATGATTTTAACGAAAAACACTTCACTATTCTAAGGTATGTGTGCTAACTGCAGACTGTGTGTTGCAATGATAAATAAGTTAACCAACTGTTTTAATTTTTTTAATTCAGTTTCCAACTTAGATTCCTGAGACTTAAGTACTACAGTAAACAACCAGATCCTCAAACAAGTATTTTCCATCCTTACATAATATAACTGAAAGATAAACTCATGATCCATATTTTTCTATTGAAAAAATAGAAATCATTTAATATTATGAACCTTATAACAGATTATTCATAATAACAAAACATTTAATAAAGCTTTATTAAGTGTTTATTTGATAAATTTTTTTAAGGTTAATAGGGTTTATCAAGGTTTCAGAACACAGAAACTTTGTATATCTTTACGATTTTACTGTATCTGGCTTGCCTTTGTCTACTATATTTAGAGGTGTTGCTAGGCCCTGGAATACGAGCCTGTGACCCGAAACCCCACTTGGTGTCTTGAAAAATCAGAATAGAAAACTATGATCAATATCATACTGAAGCGCCACATGTTCCCGCACCTGTGGGCCCGAGCCCTGAATATATTAAGCACCTAGTGACGCCTCTGACAATATTTTTAATTATTTCCTTTAATTCAGGTGGCCCGGCATGGCCAGGTGGTTAGGGCGTTCGACTCGCAATTTGAGGGTCGCGGGTTCGAATCCCCGTCACACCAAACATGCTCGCCCTTTCAGCCGTGGGTGCGTTATAATGTGACCACTATTCGTTGGTAAAAGAGTAGCCCAAGAGGTGGCGGTGATGACTAGCTGCCTTCCCTCTAGTCTTACACTGCTATATTAGGGACGGCTAGCGCAGATAGCCCTCGTGTAGCTTTGAGCGAAATTCAAAACAAACAAACCTTTAGTTCAATAATTATTGCATTTGTCAGCTAAACGAATGGTTTATAGCACTGTAATAACCAACTAACTCCAACGTTTTTGGTTAGTCTCCGATCACAATATTATAACATGTTTATATTGCATAGTTTGCTTTCAGATAGTAGAATATACTGTATTACAAATATATTGGAGTGTCTGAGACCACACTGAATGTTATATGCTTTATTTTTATCAGCGTTTATAAACCTTGTATCCGCCTAACTTTTATCAATGTCGTTTTACGTCTAACTTGTATCTGTGTAACTATGCCTTGCATATCTCTCTTGTATGTGAATGTAACAAAGCACACTGAATCTTATACATCTTGCTTGGATGTACATTTCCGAGAGCACCTTGAGTTTTTATGTCTCATTTCTAAACGTCTGAGGCCACTGTGAGCTTCACAGAGGCGTCGCTAGGTGCTTAAAATATTCGGGTCTCGGGTGCATATAGCCCCCTCCAACCCCCAAGATAATGATTTTCTATTCTGAATATTCAAGACACCAACTGAGGATTCGGGGCACTGTCAAAGAGAATCGGGGCTAGGGCTCCGTGTGTTAGCGTTCAGCGACACCTCTGGAGCTTTGCATGTATCACTTATATTAATACTCCTATAGCTTATATACTTACATCTACATATATATCAGAAAACCTTAAGCCTTGCATATCTTCCTAATAAGTCAGTGCCCCTAGGTCCTTGTGCGAAATATATATTCTGCGCTCCTTTTCAAAAAATCTAATCAGCGTCAATCTATCGTTGCCTCCTACAGACCAGCGCTCTGTTGGGGCGCATCGTTCACATTAATTAATCTTGGTGTGCCCCAAATAGCTCCGACTCTGAGCTTCATATATTTTTCTTGCATCGGTGGCTTTAAGTTTATCGGTGCTACTTGTATCAGTGACTACACGCCTTGTTCTAGTGCCCTAAGCGATGCATCTCTTTTGCATAAGAGTATTTCAAAACACACGGAGTATTGCATGTCGTTTCAAGAAGTTAAAATACGAAAATTGGATAACAACAGAAAATAACATTTTCAAAATAATAATTATTTTTAAAGGTTGTTAGTTCACTCTCGATTTTCTTTTTTTCTGTTTCAGCGTTTAACTAATTGAAAATCTGTTTTCAAGATGTTTGTTTGTTATTAAGCACAAAGCTACACAATGGGCTATCTGTGCTCTGCCCACCACGGGTATCGAAACCCGGTTTCTAGCGGTGTAAGTCCGGAGACATACCGCTGTGCCACTGGGGGGGGGGGCATTTCAAGATGAAACAAATAGGTCTGTGCCATCACACAGACAAAGGAAATACTGATAAGTTCCTCAAATGAGTATATGCGATTAAATATAACATGCTTTACTAAAATAACTTGTCAAACAAAACGAAAATGTAATAAAGGGAAAAAAGAACAGCTTTAAATAATTGTAGCTTAGACAATAACATTTAGGCACGTTAGTAGCATCACTGAAGGTTCCAGTCACCTTCTATTCAACATTATAGCGATTTGCCTTTTACAGTAATTTCTTTATGAGTATAATAAATCACGTTTATTAAAAGTAAAACATGTTCATGAATTATCTCTTCTCATTCTTGGTCATACGAAAGCAATTGGTAACAACAAGTAGGAAAAAAACGTAACTAATTCTTTTCATAATCACCTTAGTCTGAAAATAGAACTTCCATGTATAAGCTATGATACAAACATTCTCTAGTGGCAATTTTCTGAAAGTTATTACCCTCACAGTTTCCAAAGTTAAATATTAAAAAAAGCGTTTGTTGAGCAATAACACAAAACTACAATAAATACCTTTTGAGAAACTACACGTTATAAACGGTTAAAGAAACTCTAGAACATTGATCACAAAATTATATTAAGAAAAATAAAAGAAATTAAATTATTCATTTTCGAAACCTGTTACACCTAATGAGCTCGAATGTATTTAATTTATCTGATTAATAGCGTGAAGAAAACTTTAAAATAAATACGATTTTTTCAGTAACAGTTAGTTTTGAGAAGAAAATCATGTAATAAATTGGAATAATTCTGAAATAATGGGGTATTTGGGTAGCACACCAAGAAGATCCAGGCTCAGATTCTGACATCCAACACCAAAGAAACAATCTTTCTCAGGACTTTTCTAGAAACATGTGAAGATTAACAGCCGAAACGCAAAATAAAAATTAGTTAATTATTAGTATTTAATAATTACAAAAACCGGCCCCCCAGTGGCACAGCGGTATGTCTGCGGACTTACAACGCTAGAAACCGGGTTTCGATACCCGTGGTGGGCAGAGCACAGATAGCCCTTGTGTAGCTTTGTGCATACTTAAAAACAAACAAACAAACAATACAAAAACCGATTAATAACAAATTAAGAAATGCACTTAAGCAATCGTATAGAAAACTAACAATGACATTTTTTCTTTTTAGAAATTGCCATCCCGAGGCATAAACTCGAATTAATTGTTGTTTTTTTTCTCTGTCATTTGTTTCTCTATTGTGAAAATCACAGTACAATATTTTTGGACTCTCATCGTTGCACATAACTTTATGCGTTTTTTCAGATACGAATGTTTTTTGTTTTGTTTTTATTTTCTCTTTCTCGTCCCTTCAATCAGTCACTTTATATTATGTTAAACTTAATCTGCCTATCAATTTTTTTAACGTCATTTCCTTTGTAATTGAAATGTTATTTTCCCACGAATCTTTCAGCATCAGGAACATTTTACACTTGGCAACTTGGGCGTGCAAAGGCTTATGCAAATTTGTATAAAATATATCTAATAGCATTATAGTTCTTTAAAGAAGTTTGATAAGAGGAAATATAATTAGCGTCTATATCTGTTTATCATTTAAATGCCAATTTGTTGTAACGATATAAAGATGTACGTATACTTAACATTAAAGGCACATGCATATTCAGTTAAATATTAGTATGTGAACATAATTAACGAACTATAATTATAAAACTCTCTCTTCAGTTACCATAGATATATTTTATACACAGAAATACAGACATGTCGTTCAGCTGTTCCACGTTTATAAAATGCGTGAAATGATAGTAAGATAATAAAGTCAGGTATAAAAAATATTGTTACGTCTCCGTTTATTAATTGATTTTCCGTAACTTCGTTCCGACGAAACTTTAGCGACTCAAGTCC